AAAAAAAAAAAAAAAAGTTTCTCTAATAATTAGTTCCACCTAATAGAATACATGACAACAATTATTGAACAAGTGACGAATGTCAAAATTTATCAAAATATTTTTCAAATCTAATTGTCACGCTGCAAAAAAAAAGGGAAAAAAAAATATTATAAACAAAAATACTTTACAATGCTTTTTATTTGAAAATTAGGACACACCCACTTTGACCATCATTAATTTGACTCAAATATAAATTTTGTCTAAAATGTGTTAAAAACGTGCTCCTCTTTTGAAAATTTTGGTCCTTTGATGCTAAAAAAAAGTCTAAGGTGATTTGCTTCATCGAGACTGGGTGGTGAGAGTGTCGCATTGCTTTAGAGAGGCTAATTTCGCTGCGGACTGTTTGGCGTCTCTAGCCCACAATTGTCCTGTTGACTTCCAACGGCTTTTTGACCCTCCATCTGTAGTGTTACCGTGGTTACAACACGACCTTATTGGCGTGTCTTACCAACGGCGCGTACCTACTTGATGGTTCTAGGTTTTTACCTCCTTATTTGTACCCAAAAAAAAGTCTAAGGTTGCAATCAGGTTTCCTTGGCCGAATTGGCGCGTATTAGACCTTATTTCTTTATTTATTGACAGCACAAATCCATTATCTATTGTTTATACACTATGTACAAGTTCCATTATTTGCAGCCTACACGCTTAACACATTATACGTTTTCAAATGTCATATGCCTTCTATCGTTTGGGGAAAAAAAAATCATATGCCTATGTTATAAAAATTAGTACGAATCTCGTGCGATACACGGGTAAGAGATACTTATTAATATTTATAAAATAAAAATATTCATTAGATAATATTTAAAATTAAAATTATAGAATCAATATTTAAGACAATTTCCATATATTAATTTATTGAATATGTTATATAAAATTTAAATTATGCAAAATTATATAAAATATATCTATTTAAAATTAGTACACAACCCGTATGATGCACGTAATGATAATAAATTACATTATATTCATTTTAAAATAAGTGTCATTTTAATATTTGTATTCATAAATTTGATTTAACTACAATGTGATTTTAAAAATAATTATTTTTGGTAAAATATCATATATTTAAACATCTATGTGAATAATAAGTATAGTTATAAAACTTATATTGTTTCATTAATTTAAATAAATTTATTTTTGTATAAGTTATCCAAATCAATTTTTTTATAATTTAAGCAGTTTAGTAATTTATTAAATTATAAATAATTAATTGTTTCATTTACGTCCAAGTTATTATGAACTCATAAGTTATGAATAATTACTTATTTAACTTTTAAATTTGAAACCATAATTTGGACTATACAATAAATTCCATAGATTTTTTTTTTTCTGTTACCTTATCATTCAAATTTATTAATTAATTCTGTAGAACTAAATTACAAATTTTAAATTTTATTTGCCAGTATTTGTTCAAAACTCTTTTTATTTTTAAGAGGAATACATACAAATTTGTTGAATTATAATTAATATCTTATGGCAAGTTATTATAGGAATATGGTAAATTTTGAGAATCATATCACCTTCATTTTATAATGAATAACCTAAAACTTGACTTTCATACCCGTACCAAATAATATCCATACCAATTGTTTTGTGTCAAGATTTTCAAATATATTTCTATCCATACCAAATAAGTTTCATATCAAAAGTAAATCGCCCACTTTGTACCATAAATTCAGACATTTATTAATAACAACACATTTGCTATAAAAAAATAATATTGGCCATCAAATACCTCAAATAAAATCTCCCATTTTGTACCGAAACCGAATTTATTAACTTTGTAAAATTTATACCATAAATTAATTATTAATTTATAGAGTCAATTTTTTTTTTTTTTTTTATTTCAAAAAAGTTTACCAAGTTTAGTAATTTTAAAATTTTTAGGCGAGATTTTAATTTATATTTCAACTAAATACAAACTTGGTTATATATGGTAGTATGAATCCTATGCGATGTACGGGTAAGAGATATTCATTAATATTATTAAATTAAAAATAATCATTAATATTATTAGTACACAACTCGTACGATGATCGTAAATGATAATAAATTACATTATATTCATTTTTAAAATAAGTGTTGTTTTAATTTTTTGTTTAGAAATTAGATTTGACTACAATGTGATTCCATAAAATAATTATTTTGGTAAAATTTGATCATACATTTAAAATAAATTTAATTTCATTGTTTTTTGAAAATTAATTTCTTGCAAATAGA